ACCCTTTTCGTAAAAGTGTGTCACAATAACGAGCTAATAATTCAGGTGATTTTGTTGTATTACCAGCAGCTGTTGTTACAGCATTATTATTAATAAATTTACCACAAGCCTAAAACATATAAACACAAGATGACAACTCATATCACATATTTATTTGCACTATCGCTTTTTCATGCTTACAACCTTTGGTTTCAACTATAAATGGATGCAAAGAGTGTTTTATATTCTAATTAGAATTATTGATAAGAAAGAATGCAAATTAATTGAAAAGAAAATAATTTCAAAATACATTTTACTAATAAAGATCTATTTCATCACTACATTCGATTTAGGCTCTGTGGTCACTCGTTTGGATAACAATGCATCATGGTCACTAGTACAGCGCACATTATACCGACGGTAGTTATCATATATGAATAAATAAGGAAAGAAAAGCTCGACTTACTTTATCAAGAGCAGCTGTAAAACCTTGTTCACTACTAAAAGCTTCTTGTACAAGTTTGAAGAATTTTGTATGAATTTCAAGAATTGTTTCAACATAAAGTTTTGGATCCTAATTAACGAAACAAATAAATATGATAATACAATAGAAGGAAAGAAAAAAAAATTGTATTACATTAAGTGCACTGCCACTGACACGTTCGATAGCATCAATGCCCATTTGACGAATATGATCTTCAACAATTTTTTTCAATTCAACAGTTGCATTTGGTACTCGACTAACTAATTTGAATAGAAGTGCCAAATCTATTAAAACATAAATTAAATGAATTATTTTATAACAAAATTAAATCTTATTTGATTCTATCTACCTGAATGTTTTTCGGCATGTAAAAGTGCTTTAGCTTCAGTATAGATTGCTTCAAGTTGATCACGAATGAGTACTTCTTCAACTTTTTTAATTAATGCTGCTAATGTTGATGGATGTAAATATGATTGTACACGATGTACTTCTTCATCAAGACGTTGAGCTACCTATTATAAATATTTATTAAATGTTTTATAATTTGTTATATAGACAAAAGTAAACCTTTTTTAAATATTCAGTAACAGAATTATGAACAAGAAAAGTAGCCGCTTCAAGTCGATAAAATTGTTCAGTATCTTGAAGAAATGGTATTTCAAAATAATCTTTATAAATGGTCAATGTTGGAGATGTTATTGGATGATTATTTGGTACAGATGAGTTCTCGGCAAAACCAAGTTCAACTAAATTTTTTTTTATATAATTTTCAAGAGATAAAAAAAAAGAACAAAATTTTATTTGAATTTTACCATAACTTTGTATAACTCCACTAATCAATCGAGTATTAATTACTTCATTTTGACGTTCAGCTTTGATTAATTGAAGACATGCTAAGGTGACTTGTCTATTCAATGGTTGAAAAAATACTAACTGCCAAATTTCCATTGCCATCTAAATTTATATTCAATTTCTAATTAAACTGAAAAAAAAGAATATACAATCTAATTAACTTACAGTAAAAATTTCATAAACATCTCTTCTTCCGGAATCATATTCTCGTCGTACCCAATGTCGATTTAAATAATGACAAAAACCGTTTGTTACTTTACTTGAAAATCGATAATGTTCCCAATTTGTGGTATAGAAACGAAGTACACTTTCTCCTTGTAAATCAAGTCCTTTCTAAAAAAAACAATAACAAAATAATAAGATATAAAATAATAAGTAATTATCTAAATAATACACTTATTTTCACAATTCACGATAGAAATTGTCTAGAATTAACAATGAAGCCGCGAGAAACCATATTTTCCGTTAGTTACTTCGTTTTCTCTTTTAGATTTACATCACTTTCTATGACTTCAATCGTCGGTAGTTCTGCTACGAATTATAAAGAATACTGGAATGATAATGATAATAAGATCGTGCTCGATAATATGATTTGACGCATGAGTTATTTATTTTCAACTCATAGTTTTCTTTCAAGTGCTTCTCAAAAAGTATAAGTCAAATGGGGAGCCTTGAAATATGATTTATGACTACTTCATTGGGTTTTTACTATCTGTAGTTTACTTTCATTGACATAAAACGACTACTTTATCTGTTAAACAATATATTTTCTGAGTTGTTTTTTTTCTAAACAAATCATTCAATTAAATTATTTTTTTCTTTTTTGTATAATAATTTTATAAACGTTTAAGAGAACAGTTCATATTGAATAAAATAATTCAACACCCACCCCACACCCTCGAGTGATGATAGTGAAATGTTATAATTAACTTGGTTATCATGGTAGTATAATTATATACTTATAAGTATACGAATGATATCAATACAAGAAAAAATAAAATATTTTATTGTTACAGAAAAGTTTGGAGATCATATGAAGTTTCAATCATCTTATAAAAATAATTAAATATTGACGTACGAGCTGTAACAATTATCAAATGAACTTTTCGAGTTTCTTTCATTAAATATTTGATATAAGTATGATGATTATCGAATCGATCAATAATTGTATTAGTGTTTTATCCAACATTTTTCTTCTGAAGGAATAATTTAAAATTACGAAATATCATATATCGACTTTCGGCAAAATAACTTTGATCTTCGATAAAGTGTTGTCCATGTCTGATAAAACACTGAACAGTAGCAGGTGTCTTTACGATATTTTTTTTCGTACTGTCTATAATTTAGAAGGTCTCGATATTGTATGCGTCTTTTTTATGACATTTCTTCTGAAATTGTCAACACAGAGTATTATGTGTTGTTTTTCTTTTTAAGATAACAACATGCACAACGAACGAAACAAAAAAGTTCGAAAGAGAAAAAAAACTCATGAATTAAAATAAAAAACGATGATTTCAGCATTTTAATTCGCATGACATCAATGGGTTTTTTCTTCCTTTGCATCACTATAAGGTGACACGTCATTTTCAATAATGTATTATTATTCATAGAATATTTCACGTAAACAGAAACGAATGAATTTTATATCTTATCTATAATTTCTTTTTTTAATTTATGAAAAAAATTTTATCAATATTAATTCATTGATATTCAAAATTTTTGTTATGAAGATATTCTATGACACTATAGATTTGTGTTGATAAAATACTTTTGTTGTCGTATATTCTGTCCTATTTAAACAATATTTTATATAAAAATTTCGAATATATATCGTTTATGATTTTCTTTAATATAATATGATGATTCTTATCATTGTCATACGATTCTAGAAGTTTCCATGATAGAAAAACCAAAAGAATATAAATTTTCATTTTAAACATCATCTGTATGATCGTATAGATTTACTTTTATTCAACTTGTCTAAGGCAAATAATCTTACTTCACAAATTTTTTCCAAATAAGCTTTTAAATAATTTTTCAATTTATTATATAATTCACCACCAACAATATTTGCTCCATCATGTACATTATTTTGCCGTTGATTACTTCCTGGTTTTGGTGTTGATTTTGGTGGTGGTTTTGATGACTGTGCTTGTGATGCAGTATTTGTACAATAATTGTAAACGTGACTATAATAAAATGTTTAGATAATAAAATTAAAATAAAAATAAACATAAATTATAATATTATATTTACGTATAAAGTTCCATATATGCTGTAGGTGACATTTCTTGAATTCGATATATACGTTCAATACCTTCTGATACTTTCACCCAAACATCATTCAAGGTCATATTACCGTCTGGACGCGACATTTTTTGTGTAATTCACCGTCTCTATTTTAAAGAAAATAAGACAAAGTAGTTCTTTGTAGAACAACATCATAATAGGAAATGAGTCATAGTCGTTTTTTTCCAAATACTTGTGTAAGAACATGAAATAAATATCACATAAAATCTTATGCTTTTTTTTTCATTTAATATACATACCTTATTCGATTGAATAATGTTTTGATGGCAAAAAACGATTTAACAAACTAGGATTTTCCAAAAATGAAAGTCACTTTGTCGTCTTGTTTGTTTACCTGATGCCGTCTCAACGACGTATAGACGAATAACTAAATAAAATAGAAAGAAGTAATGAGTAAACATGTTTATATAACGATATAAGGGATCTGATACGAAAATTTCAATGGAGCATTTCTAACCAATAGGATTTTTCTTTCCTGATCGACGCGAAACGTAGGCACAGTTTAATAAAATTTTTCTGTAAAATTATTTAGATGATGAAAAATAAAATAAAAATCAATAAATTAGTTTGATTATTACATGCGAATAAAAATTTATTTCAAAAATAGTTGCAACTTGAATATTTACTTAAAAAGATTCAAATTCAATTAAAACTTCCTTTTTTTCTTTTATGACTCTTGAGTCATTTCTATTGAATCAGTTTGTAATTTATTATGCATTTGAATAATACTATATCACTAACAATGGATGTGCTTGTGTTGTCCGTCTCAAAAATGGGATATATTCGTGTCAAATTAAACTCTCAACACCAAACTAACAAGGTTAAAATCTTAGCGGCTCTTGGCTTGTCTAGAGGAAGATATTCGATTTTTACGGTACTCGTCGTTTGAGTATATAGGACCATTAGGATTATTTAGATTAAGTTTTTATAGAATCAAGTAAGTATTTAAACAATAGGATTCAAGAATCTTTCTTAATTATATTAGTAGCATTAGGATCACATTAGTTTCGATGTCTTCCAGAACTTAAGTAGTGTTAACTCAGATAAAGATCAGCTAGCAGTTGTCAAAACCTTCAACTCATTCATAGCTTTGATTTTATTTCAACTGAAAAGAATAGATTATACAATACACTGTTTCAACAAATGTACTATAAATGTAAGTGTAGGTCTTCAATCAAATCATAGTAGCAAAGAGTTCGTTTGCACCAAGCACACATTAATATGGTAGTGTTCGTTCATTGCAATTGCTAATTGAACAGTACAGATCATAAAATCTGAAGGAACCATCTTTTGGTTTTTCAATCTGTCCAATTGTTTCATTTGTTATTCGAGCTTGTATAAATCCATTCTTAATGAGATTTATAAATTGTGGAGCTTATAATTGATTGTGAATAACAGAATTCATGTTGATGAAATATTGACGATCATTTATAGTCATTTCCGTTCGTTTGATATGAATATAATGTTCGATTTTTTCATGAATAAATCGCCATGAACGACATAAAGAAAGATCTTGTGGTTGAATATAACTTGTTGATCCTTCCGGAAAAATCAATAATTGTCTGTTTTGATTAGGAAATTGTGCTCTAAATTTTGTTATATCAGCTTGGGTTTTCCAAAAATCAAGGAAGAGAAGAAACTTTTTATCAATCAAAGGATGTAGAATTTTCTTTAAAAAAGCGTGATGTTTTCCATTGCTACTTTTTCCTGATTTTGAAACTCTTGCTACAACATTTGGTGCTACAATTGAATTTCTTTGTACTCTTTGACCGAATTGATTTTCTTTCTCTTGAAGAATGAGTAAGAACTTGTCTAATAAATGACCATTAGCTGATGTAACAGGTTGTACTGTGTAAGAATAGGTTAAGTTGTATTTCTTTTCGACAGTCACTTCTGTTGTTCTTTCAGCAGTAAAAGAAAGGGATCTTGGAGACACGTGTTCCTGTTGAAATGAACAATGATCGCTGTTCAAAATTTGATGGGAAGAATAGTTTGATATCAAACATCTTTTACTTTCGATCCAATTTCGAGCATTTAAAATATATATGTATACTACATTAAGACATATGTTTTAAAGACCAAATAAAAGTTGGGCGTGGATGTGTGGGCGTGGTTGTGGGTATGGGTGTTGCCTCTTTCCACACTCGCACCACACCCACACTCATACCCACATCCACACCCATATCGACACCCACACCAACACCCATCCTCTTCGTCCTTACACATTCCATTACGATGGTATAAGCACCAGACATACCGCGGTTCTTCAGCTGAAAACCGCTGTTATCAATAACGCGATTATTCGGCGGCATACCGCGGTTTCTAAGACCACTGAATACCGAGGTATTTGTCACCGCGGGTCCTAATGACTATACCGCGATTTTTAAAACCGCTCAATACCGCGTTGTTTACCACCACAATTACTGATGGCTGTACCGCGATTTTTGAAACCACTTAATACCATACTATTTATCACCGCGGTTACTGATGGCTATGCCACGGTTTTTGAAACCGCTCAATATCGCGGTATTTGTCACCGAGGTTACTGATGTCTATACCGCGGTTTTTGAAACCGCTCAATTCCGCGGTATTTGCCACCGTGGTTACTAAGGACTATACCGCGATTTTAAAAACCGTTGAATACCGGATTATGCAATACCGCGGTTTCCAATAACTATATCGCAATTTTTTAGACCGTTGAATACGGTGGTATTTAGAACCGTGGTCCTGAATACGAGCAACGCGGTTCAATAAAACCGCCATCAACCGCGGTTATCCAATCAAAACCGCGGTTTTGAGCGATTTTTAAAAACAAATTTCCCATGGAATGCCCCCCCCCCCCACATCCACCCACACTCACACCCTCACTCCACACCCACCCACACTCACACCCCACATCCACCCACGCCCACACCTACACCCACCCACACCCTCACACTCACACTCACACCCCACACCCACACCCTACTTCATGGATTTGATTTTTTTTGAATCGATGGGAAATAATTGCAAATCTAGCATTTGGGTGTTGATCAACCCATTCAATTACCTTTTCCATTTCTTCTGTGGTAAAACGATTTCTCATATGAGAATGGTCATTCTTATCATAATCTTCAGTTTCTTCATTATTCTCTCCGTCATCCGCCATTTCTTCAGCTTCATCATCGATCTCTTCGCCATCAGTTAATTCATCATACTCATCATCGAAGTCGAGGGTATCATAAACATACAGCTCACTAAAGTAGCTATCTTTAAATGACTTTAAAACCTCGAACAATTGTTCTGAATCAAAAATTTCATCAATAGTTGCCACAGAATTTTCAGATCCATATTCAATTTGAGCCAAATAGAGAAGATATTTGGCTACGTTCAATAAATTCATGTTTTGATTTGATGAAATAAACTTTTTTAGACAGTAGATAGGCGAAAAACAAAAAAGAATACCTATTATATTGGATATTTCTTTGTGATGTCTTAACACCAATTGTAATGAAACGGTCGATAGGAACTGCTCACATATTAAAGTTTTCTTGTTCTTTTTTTAAATCCCTCTTTTCTATATTAGGACAGGTATTATTAGAACTTGTAAGAAACCAGCTCGTGATTACTACTCACATTTTGCCTATTTGTTTCTGTCAACAATTGCATAATATATAAATAGCTTTTTAGACCACCAAGGGATGCATTAATGCACTTTAAGTTTAAAAATTATACGTATAGGTCGTTTTTCAAACATATCGTATGTCGCTTTTTCATTTCGATACTACTTAAGTTCTGGAAGACATCGAAACTAATGTGATCTTAATGCTACTAATATATTTAAGAAAGATTCTTGAAGCCTATTGTTTAAATACTTACTTGATTCTATAAAAACTTAATCTAAATAATCCTAATGTTCCTATATACCCAAGCGATGAGTACCGTAAAAATCGAATATCTTCCTCTAGACAAGCCAAGAGTCGCTAATATTTTAACCTTGTTAGTTTGGTGTTGAGAGTTTTAATTTGACCCGATTATGTCCCATTTCTGAGACGGACAAGACAAACACCTCTATTGTAAGTTTTTTATTATATATCAATATCGAATATATATTAATAAATGATAATAGAACAATGTAAGTTAAATTTTATTATTTTTTATTTTATTGGATTGTGATCAGCATCATCATTTTTTAAATTTGATAAGATTTCATATCCGCTTCAATATCAGACTTATTCTGAAATAAGGATAATATTTTTTTGATACTATAAGTCTATTAGTTTTTCTTGACTGCAGATTCTTATTCAAGATTTTCTACTTGTTTTATTTTGTATCATTTGATTGAAAGCAAACAAAAGAGAACATAAATGCTTCATGTTTCTAGGAAAAAAAAAGAAGTTTGAGCAAAACCACATTATTTTCATCTGGATATGATTGTTATAATCGAACGTCACAGTATCATTTGACAAACTATGGTTTTATTGATTCGTCAAAAAAATATAATGGTGACGAGCCAGTATCTCAATTTTGTTCGTGATGGTATTTAAGACATCCAGAATGTATCTTATGTGCAATATTGTTCTTATATATCACAAACTGTACATAAATAAAATACAAGATAAGTGTACCAATTAGGAGAATATTCTAGGCAACAAAATATACGGCTTATTATAATAGTTTGTGCAAAAATTCTACTATACAAACATATCATACAATTACATAGCACTTTTAAAACTTCACTAATAGAAGTTCAGACAAGCCTACTTTTTGTAGAACTGACTTGTTCATGAAAGGCTATGAGCCTTTTCAGCCTGCCTGCCAGTTATTCAATTCACATTGCCAATCACGATCTGTATACTCTTTTCTTTACATACTTATATTATGAGAATGATTGAAGGTACGTAGAAGATTATCTCTAGAAAAAGGCAAGGAAGTCATGCATATCAAGAGGATATCACTATATGAAATATCCATGGGTTTAATACAGTAAGTAACTGTCAAGAAAATACAAAAGAAAACACAAAATTAACATACAAAACGATTCTTGATTTATGAAAGAGTGTTTTCAATGCACTGGATGAACCAGTTGGAAAAGACACGTGAAGTTCTATCTTATTACGATATATGTAAATATGAATCAGAACTAATAAGGTTTAGTAAATAATTCATATTCAATAATAATAAGAGTAGCTGCTCAAAAAGTACGAATAGGAACTTACCAAAATCAATAAATAAACTAAAAAAGATATGTGGATAATGCATAATGCAGTCACAATCAATTACTAAGCATGATTTTGTCTAATGAAAATAATAAAACAAAAAATCATTCTTCAGCTTTCCGCGTTGAGAATTCGACACTGGATATTTTGATATCTGCATTTTCTCGCGACAAGAAAACAAATTTTTTTTTCTATCAAAGAAAATATGACAGATCAGCAGCTAAATTCAATAGTTTATTTGAGTCTGTGTTTTGTCGTATCATCCCTCGAAGGATAGAAAGTCACGATTTAGTAAAACTTCTAGATGGAACAGATTACTTTCGGTCCGCTCTATTGCTTTAATCTATTAATAAAACCCTAAAACTCCATTTAATGTGGTTTGTTTCTTAGGTTTCTTCGTTCGTAATACAAAAGAAAAAAAACAGCAGGCCAACAACAAATTTTATCAAAAACGTGTCAAAAGTATTTAGTCTTCTTTCGAATGTTTTAAGAGTAATTATACTGATTCAACATATTATAGAGAATAAGAAAGTTTTTGTTGATTATGTACACCTGTTTTGTAAATTACAAAGTTTGAAAACTGCATGCAATTTTTCTTTTTCTTTGTATAATTATTTCGTATTTTCTTATTCTTGTAAAGCTCAGACCAATAACGGAAATCATATTATCAAAAAGAATAGGAATTTATATTTTATATTTCATGAAGACTTTATCGACAATATTTGTTTTTCAGTGTAACCAATCGGTCAATTCAAGCTATTCTATTTAGAATAGAATAATCCTAATAAATCACTTAAGCTACTGTTAAACCGCACAAGTGTTATTTTTATGCATTTCAGATACAGATTTTTAAGATAAAAAAAAGATATTGACCTTTATTCTTCAACAAGAAGGTATGTTAAGATAATTCATGCTTTTTTTTCTTTTTATTAAAATTTTTCTATTTTAATGATTTATTTAATTAATTACTGTTTAAGTCATCGATGTATTGAATCGAAAATATCCCATTGCTGAATTGCATGATTATCAATCGTAACATAAAGAAAAACAAATAAGAGGTGAACATTAACAAATAATTGACTAGGCGAAGGTCATCAGATGCACGTGCATGCAAATGTCTTTTTCTCTCTTACAGTCGACATTTTCTTTTCTCTCTCCTATTTCATTTACTCATTTTTTGCATTGCCTTATTTCATCATATACACATGTTATAGAGATAGAAAGAACACGAGAATAGAAAAAACAAATCGAGTAAGTCTGATACTTATATTTCTAAAAGAATGAATAAAAAAAAAAAGAAAAAGCAATCGATTAAATCTCCAGAGTTTATTTTTTTCCCTAGGCAAATAAGCCTCCCTAAAGTGATGATGACAGAATGTATTTATTTGAAGATCCGATATATTTTTTTGTAGTATTGTAGTAATCAATCTTTTAACAATCTTCTTAAATGCTATTATTTTAAAATAATTTTTTATTGATACAAAATTAAAAAAGAAAAATAAGAAATGAAATTTGCTCAACATTTATCAGCACATGTAACACCAGAATGGAATTCACAATATATTCGATATGATGATATGAAAGAATTACTTGCACAAGCTCTTGCTAAAGCACAACCATTTGCTGATGAAAATGATAAAATTTTACGTGAACAATTTTTTTTACGTGTTGATGAACATTTTTTTCAAGTAAGATAATTAAATAAAATTTTCTTATTTCATTCTTGCTTTGTTTTATTTATTATTATATAGTATTGTGAAAAGGAAGCATCAAAAATCAATACTTTCTTTGCAGAAAAACTTGCTGAGTAAGTTGAAAATATACTTGAAATGTATTATTATTGCAGTATATAGACGGATGATAGTGTATGAATGATTTTTTCACATTAATATTTAGCAGTGAGAGTGTGTGTATTATCGTATACGAATTCAGACGTCATATTTTTCATCATATCTTAAGTATTGCGAGAAAATAGTATTTGACTTTTCTCTCTCTGATGGTAATAGTTCCTTGAACAATATTATTTGATGCACTAGGGTGTATGTACTTTCTTGAGTGCATATGTTTACTTTTCTGCTTTCTGTTGACATTGTAACTAATTTATTCTTTTTTTTTATATTATCGATGCATTGTTGATTTCCTCATTGGTTTATTCATTTTGTTAGAATGTTCTGATTTCATGATCATTCTTATTATTATATAAGTTATTATTTATATTTAGAAATAATAAAGAAATTCATTGAATATATGTATATAAAAGACTTAAACTATATCACTTAAAAATTCGTCAATTATGTTTCGATATGAACAAGATGATGTTTTTTCGTATTCAGCATTTCGAAGAGTCAAACAAGGAATATTGATTTGTTTAAAAACTCCTGAACTAAATGTGTCTTCCGAAAATTTTTCAGAAAATGACAACTTTTAGATTTAAGTTTGTTAAATACGTACAGTTCTATCAAAGATATCCGAATTCAATGTCGTCTTCAGGGTTTAGCAATCTAAATAAAGTTTATTTTTGATATATTTCTTAATATCTATCTTACAATGTTGTAATTGATGAAAATCATTATCGAGATTCATATAGATCGACGTCCTCCCTTACGTTTCTCTACAAGTTAATAAAAAGATATGCCAAGAAAGTTAGTTTTCGTTCAATTAATCGAATTTAATGATTTTTTTAGAGCATCAAGACGATGGGAAACATTAAAAAACGAAGTTCTACACATGGAACAAGCACGTCGATCTACATTTCATCGTTCAGCAACAACATCTGGTAATACTGTTGGGAATGATCAAAATATTGGTGTTACTAATACAGATGGTGTCAAGTCAGCAAAATTAAAACATCGTTCAGGTCACCATGAAGATGATAATATATTGACACCATTAACACGTGTATTACCTGAGCGTTTAATTGAACGAACACGTGAAAAACAATCACAACGTGTACAGTATCGAAAAAGAACTGATTTAAAATTAGCTTTCAGTGAATTCTATTTAATGCTTGTTCTATTACAAAATTATCAAGCACTTAATTATACAGGTTTTCGTAAAATATTAAAAAAACATGATAAATTATTTCAAACAACTCGTGGTGATGAATGGCGGTAACACATAATTATTGAAAAAAAAAGAAATAAAGTTTTTATCTTGATATATTTAGAAAATTACACATTGATTC